TCTCTCTCTCTCTCTCTCTCTCTCTCTCTCTCTCTCTCTCTCTCTCTCTCTCTCTCTCTCTCTCAATCTTTCCCTTGCTTTCTCCACCCTCCCCTCCTTTCTTACCTTGCTCTTTCACGGCAAAGTTGACGATGGTCGTTTTGGTGGAGATCTCCGGCGTGTAGTGGGGATTGCTCAGCTTGGTGGTGATGTAGAAGCGGAACTGCTCATTGTACTCAATCTCTTTGTCTCCCAGTTTGATGATGAATGCTCCACCTGAGGTACACACAAACAGATGTACACGGATGAACACACTCAGGCAGACACAAAGATGAGAACATACAAACATGCAAATGTAAAGATGGACCAACAGATGGATGGCAGTGTGGACTGAAGAGTGAAGGATGGATAGACAGATAAACAACAGAATGGATTGATGGGCAGAAGAAAGAAAAGGCAGATGGATTGATAGACAACGAAAGCATGGATGAATCTATGTATGGATGAAACAAAGGGTGAAGAGATAGAAGCGTGAAAACAAGGATAAACTATAAACAGATTGATCTTTCCATAAAATGATAGACAGATAAATGGATGGGTATATGGACAAGTTACTGAGGATCAGATGGACAGACAGGGTCACCAACGAAGAAGTGTTAAGAAAAACAAAAGACAGATCCCAGTTAGAGATGAGGTAGGAAGAAGGTGGTGGTGATGGATTGGTGATATTCTCAAGAAGTCAGGCAGCTGTATAACAAAGAAAGAATTGGATAAGAATCCACAGGGTAAAAGATCAAGGGGAAGACCACGTGGAACCTGGAGAAGAATCACCGAAATTGAAGTACAGAAAAGTGGGAAGACATGGAATAACATCAAGAGGCTAGCCCAGGATAGAGAAAGGTGGAAGGTGTTTGTCCATGGCCTATACCCTGGTGCAGGGTGAGGAAGGCAGTGATGATGATGATATAGACAAATACACAATATGGAACAATAAATAACTGAATGGCAAACAGAGACAGACTGATGTACAGATACTCACCAACTTTCATGAGCGACTTGTTGAGTACAGGGTCCAGTGAAGGGTCCAGTTTTTCCTGTACGTTCTGCAAGACGACCGGCATGCCAAACTGGATGGCGCCCTCTAGTGTACGCATGTAGTCGTGTTGTTGGAGATCGATCACTTTCAGACCCTGGATGCAAAGGCAGGCAGATACGTAGAAAAAATATTTCAGTTTGCTGGAATATCTTGTCAGTTGGGTTTTTTGTTTGTGTGATTCAAACAATATAAGTAAAAACGTGCATGCATATATACATACGACATACATGATATGCACATGAACTGATGCTCACACAAGCATTAGGATACTTACATGCGTGCACACGCACATACCCACATAGCACAAACAAACAGTCTAATATGCACATGCACTGATGCCCACTTAAGTATTTGGATACTTACATGCGTGCACACGCACATACCCACATAGCACACACAAACAGTCTCTCTCGCCTGTTTATCCCTCCTTCTTTCCTGCCTTCCCTTCCCTCCCACTAAAAAAACAAAACAAAAAACCCCCCCAAAAAATCCGATAAGCATAGGTCTACTCAAACAACTGACAGCCGGTCAGTCCACCCACTCACCCTGGCAGCCTCCATGTTCTTAATCCACTTGATGGCCTGTCCCTGAGGGTCCACCATGAGTGGCCACCGCCGGCCTCTGGTCACGATGACGCCGTTCTCCGTGCTGAACCCGTCGCTGGGCAGGCCCTGGATGTTCCAGTCTCTCACCTGTGTGGGCTTGGCCATGAACTCACAGAAGTTGAACTCCGGGGCACAAGGGATGCCCAGTTTCTTCACCTGAAAGGAATATTTCACATTAATTATTCCTTTTTTCCTTTTTTCTCTGAAAACATTTTTTTGAACTTCCACCACAAAAAAAGGTATCTTGATCATGAACATTATTCATATTTGGGACATGGAAGTCACAGAAGTTGAACTCTGGGGCACAAGGGATGCCCATTTTCTTCACCTAAAAGGAATAGTTGAAGTTCACTCCTTAGGTGTTTTTTTTTTTTATTTCTCTGAAAACATTTCTTTGAACTTCCACTACAAAAAAGTTATCTTTATATATAGATAGTACATTATTCATATTTGGGACATGTTTAGAGAACTCCACAGACAAGATCGCCTTATTAAACATGATACTGCTGACCAAAAGGAAAAAAAAAGAGAACAGTTGAAGTTCACTCCTAAGGTTGTTTTTTTTCTCTGAAAACATTTCTTTGAACTTCCACTACAAAAAAGTTATCTTGATGTATATTATTCATATTTCAGACATGTTTTGAGAACTCAACAGACAAGACTGCCCCATCAAACATGATACTGCAGACCAAAAGGGAAAAAATTGGGAAGAGTAGAGCAACTGATTGCCATAGGAGTACAATTAGAGACGAAGCAATCACCCAGGCGACCCTCACCTTCTGTTATCGCAAATGACTTCTATTCAAGACAGATGGGCATTTTTTTCACTAAATGCAAGATAAATGCACCAGCTTTAAGATGATACTAATAACTCTATATACCCAAAAATTGACGAGCGCCTGTCTTTTGTCCACTGCGACCCCCGCAGTGACCCAGGATCTGCCAATGAGGCTAAGTATATTCGCACTGAGTTTTAGTTTTAGCAGAGGTTTTACGGCGCTCGCAACTGCATAAGGTCATATAGGCGCCAGAAGATTAGAGGTCTTGCAAGAGAGTAACAAACATAAAAAAGAAGAAGGGGAGATAAGAATGATAGATGTTTGATAGGAAAGAAGAATGGTAAACCACACAAGAGAAACTGCCAACCAAAGTCGTAACTTAACTGTAAACCAATATAAAATTCCTTTTTGTGTTCCCTACCTCTGCCATCCACTTGTTCGCCACTATCTCCTCTCTGTAAGTGGACAAGAACGGACCCATGTAGGACAAAAACGCTGCTGCGATGAGCACGTCTCCGACCAAATGGCCCATACGCTCCTCCAGGTCCTAGACGAGGGATGAAACACGAAGGGGGGAAAGATTATCAAAGAGTTTTTGTTTTAATAAGCGTTTCACGGCGCTCGCAACTGCATAAGGTCATAAGAGCAGAAGAAGATTAGAGGTGTTACAAGAGAGTAACAAACATCAAAAAGAAGGAGGGGAGATAAAGACGACAGATGTTTGATAGGCAAGAAGAATTGCAAACCACACCAGAGCACCTGCCAACCACCCAAACACGGAGGGAGGAAATATCATAAAAGAGTAAAGATGCCCTCTGTGACAATACAACAGTTACTAAACCCAGGTAAGTGCAAGGGCTTGACTGAGTAGTTGTTTTATGGCACTATCGACTCTATTTTGGTCATGTAAGTGCCAAGGTGCAAGAGCAAGTTTTTTAGTTTTAGTAGAAGTTTTTCGGCGCTCGCAACTGCATAAGGTCATATGAGCGCCAGAAGATTAGAGCTGTTACCAGAGAGTAACAAACATAAAAAAGAAGAAGGGAAGATAAGGACGATAGATGTTTGACAGGAAAGAAGAAGCAAACCACACCAGAGCACCCGCCAACCACCCACTGCAAGAGCAAGATAAGCAGATAGAAAAAGAAACACAGAGAAAGACAAGAAGTACAATCTATTGCCGGCCACCTCAAACAAGCAGAAGCACTAGATATGACAAAGAAACATATATCATGAGATAAAAGAGAGACGGAAAAAAAACAAAAAAAGATAAAATGATACATCTGAAGAGAGAGAATACATGGAAGATAGAAAACACAGCAAAAAAGATAGTTTTAGTAGTTTTAGTACGAGTTTTACGGCACTTGCAACACAATAAGGTCATATAAGTGCCGAAGATTAGAGGTGTTACAAGAGAGTAACAAACACAAAAAGGAGGAGGAGAGATAGAGATGATAGATTTTTTATAGGAAAGAAGGAGCACCCGCCAACCACCCACTCAAAAAAAGATAAAGAGACTGCACAAAACATTAGATAAGACAGTACTGTGGTGTCGGTGGCTTTGTGGTTAAGCTCTCAGACTCGAAACCGTAAGGTCATGGATTGGAATCCTGTCAAGGGCCCGACGTTGTGTCCTTGGGAAAGGCACTTTACACAAATTTTCCTCACTTCACCCAAGTAGGAATGGGTACCTAGCTATAGACAGTGAAAGATCTTGCCAGTCTGTTAGTGTTTGAGCGCTTAATCAGCTGCCTGCACTGTATGCTTCCCGGGAACCTGAAAATGTCTCCGAGTGTTCTATGGTCTGCTGGGGTAATAATATAGTGTGTAAAGCGCATAGAGCTTGGTATAGAGCAGGTATATATATGCACTATACAAAAGCTATTTATCATTATTATAATCATTAAACATAAAGATGGGACAAGATGTGATGCAAAAAGACAATATAAACTGGAAAATAACACACAGGACAAGACAAGACAAGACAATTCAAAACAAGGAATAATAATACAAAGACAAGACAAAACAGAAAAATATACCATCAAACATCTAGCTCTCACTGGCAAAATTGAAGGCAAAAGAGGCAGGGGTAGGCCGAGAACAACATACCTAGGGAACCTAAACAAAAAGGTAACAGGGAAAGATCAGGGAAACGTAGCTTTTTTGAGAGCATCCGAGCAAAGGAATGAACGGAGAACTATGATCGCCGATGTCTGTCGCAGATTTGGCACTGGATGATGATGATACCATCAGACAAGCCAAAACAAAAGAACACAAAACATCCGATGTTCCATTACACGTAAGCCCACTGACCTTGACTGTCTCCTCCCAGCGAATGCGCTCACCCGCCAACCCAGAGACCAGCTTCTGAGCTCTGTCCAACATGAGCTCCGTGTGTTCAGCTTTCTTCTTCAGCTCCTCTTTCTGGGCCAGCTTCTCGTCGTAAAGGATCTTCAGCTCGGCCATTTTGGCCTCAAGCTGGGAACAGAAAGGAGATACTTTTGTTTCTGTTTTTAGTTTTTGAGTAAGGTTTTACGGCGCTCGTTACTGCATAAGGTCATATGAGCGCCCTACTTTTGTTTCTTTTATATTTCATGCTTTTTTTACTTTTATTTCTATCACAATATTCTATGTGTTTATTACTGTGTTTGTTTTTGTTGTTGTTCTTTTTATTATCGTAGTTTGGTAGCTTTTGTTTTGTTTGTTTTTAGCTTTGTAGGGTTTTTTTTTCGTAAGGGGAGATAGTAGAATTTACTTTTAGCGGACCGCTATATAAAGGTTTCCATACTCTTGGTTTGAGTACTGTTTGGTGGGTATTTTGTTTTTCTTCGTAAATTTTTGTTTTGGTTTGGAGGGGAGGATATTTTTAATGGGTTTGTTTGTTTGTTGTTGTTTTGTTGGGGTTTTTTTGGGGGGGGGGCTTTTTGGCTTGGTCTTTTTCTATCTTTTCTTTTTTTGGGGGGTGGGCTATTGTGCGTGTGTGCAAGTGTGTGTGTGTGTGTATGTGTGTGTGTGTGTGTGTGTGTGTGTGTGTGTGGGTGCATGCGTATGTGCATTATGAGTGTACGTGTGCATACAACAAGTTCATCTCCCTCTCATCACTCACCTCTGCAAGTTTGGCCTTGGCGTCCGCCAAAGCTGCTTGCTTCTCCTTCAGCGTTGCCATGGCAGCGTTGAGCCTCTGGCGTTTGGGTTCCACCACTCGGTAGATCCGGCCGTACATCTCCATGGCCCTCACCCACATGCACAACGATTTGGCCGCACTGGACACTCGGCCGATGATTTCCGGGTGGAAATCTGCCTGAGCCACGTACTGACCAATCTTCTTGAGCACTCGGTCTGTGATGTTGTCTTTGTCAAAGTTCATGAGCTGCTTCAGGAAGTTTTGATCTCCTGTAGAAAGGTTAAGGGGGTCACAATAGTAAGTGGTGGTTGGGGGTTGAGGAAACAGGGAAGGGGGTGGGGAGGTTGAGGAAAGGGGGAAAGGAAGGAGGTTGAGGAAAGAGGGAAGGGAAGGAGGTTGAGGAAAAGGGGAGGATGGGATGAGGAAAGGGAGGAAGGGGGGTTTGAGGGACGGGGGCGGGGAAGGAGGTTGCGGAAAGAGGGACGCGGGTGTTGAGGAATGGGGGAGGATGGGTCAAGGAAAGGGGGGGGGGGGGGT